AGATGGAAGAACAGCATTCTTCCATCTCCGTGAGTCTAATCCAATGATGGTAACAGGCCCAAGTCATTTACTCTTTCTCCAAATGTGTTTACAAAATAATATTTATTTGTTCAAGCTCTGCTGTTTGTGCAATGTTACGGTATATTTAGCAGCCAATTTTCGTTTCTGAAGAGCTTTGATAGTGAGCTGTTCTGACTGAAACCGCATCTTTCTCATTGTTGCATCTCCAATGCCAGCACAGAATTTATCTAATTTAACAACGCGGAATGTAGAACTTTACAAACATTAGCTCATTTAATATCCACAACAGCCCTGTGAAATGTTGGATTTTTGTCTCCATTGTAAGGATTAGGAAACTAAAGCAATAAGCTATTTTGTGACCTTGCTCAAGGCCCAGATAGCCAGTGGCAGAGCTTGCTTCCAAAGACTCCACTACTGCTGTGCTAGTTTATGCATCAATGCTACGCTGTGTTGGGAGTGTCTATGGATTCAGGACAAGTCTGTATGCAAGAGCAAGTGGAAAAGAGTAAAAGAGGAAGAAGGGAAGGGAAAAGAAAGCAATTTGAAGAACAGTTGAAGCTAAAAATATCATTAGTAATTGAGAGACAAAACTGGGATTTGAGTTTCTTTCTTATAAGACAGGTTCATCTGGAATAAACGTTCTCATTTTATTTTAATATAATTTTGACAACTATAAAATACAGTACTTAATAACTTAATTTTTAGAGCATAATAATAAAATGAATACCCATGAACCCACCACTTACCTCAAAACTAGAACACGACTCATCTGTGTGTTTTCTCTCTGGCTCATGTTCCGGTCTTCCCCCAGAAGTAAGAGCTACACTGAATTTTGTGCATATCATCCCCTTCCAATTTTAATATAATTGTATCACATATATAGGTAACCTAAACAAGCTTTTCTTGTTTTTGGTCTTTATCAAAATGATATGATACTATTTAAAATTCTCTTTTGTCTTTTTCACTTAAAGTTATCTTAACAAGATTCATCTATGTTGAATAGAATAAACTCTCCTTTATAAAATGTCATAGGAGTTTTCAAAACACTTCTTCTGTTTGTTGGTTGGTTGGTTTGTTTGTTTGTTTTTGAGATAGAGTCTCGCTCTGTCACCCAGGCTGGAGTGCAGTGGTGCCATCTCGGCTCACTGCAACCTCCGTCTCCTGGGTTCAAGCAATTCTCCTGCCTCAGCCTCCTGAATAGCTGGGACTACAGGCACGCGCCACCATGCCGAGCTAATTTTTGCATTTTTAGTAGAGACGGAGTTTCACCATGTTGGCCAGGATGGTCTCAATCTCTTGACCTCGTGGTCTGCCTGCCGTGGCCTCCTGAAGTGCTGGGATTACAGGCTTGAGCCCCCACACCCCGCCCTCAAAACACTTCTACATAAATTATCTCATTTAATTCACATAAAATCTATTGGAAATAAGTAGATTGCTCTAATTTTTCCTATTTTTTAAATTGCACCAGCACCAAAACTATGCTGGCAGCCACTAACAAATCTGGGTGTTTAGCTGGGCTCCCCCACGTGCTTCAAGGCCCACATGTCATTATGGGCTCCAGGTCTTGCCACAGACACAGATATTATGAACTTTGCATATCAGTAAGTCTGTTTGAATGCTTGTAACTGTGATTTTATTTTCCATGTGGTATGGGTGTTCTCTCATTATATTGAGAGAGAAAAAAATAAAATAAAAAAGCAGTCAAAGCACTTAGGATTTCTTGGAAATTCATTTTATTTCCATATGTATGGCACATAAATAAAGCTTTATGTTCATTCCAAATGTGACTGTCATGTCCATTTCACCATAGCTGATAGGATATGATAAACAATAGCATATGTAAATTCCCACCAAAAATACATATCTGAAGGAGGTTCTGTCTTTTATTACCTTGCAAATATCTTCTTTTAGACATTCTTTCAGCTGCCTGGCAAGCAAGTGAGGCAGTAAGAGACCTGACATTCCTGTGGTTGGCTTGAGTTTTGTGTTATTTATTACTCAGGGATGTGCTAATATCTACTACCTTACAAAATAACGACAGCAGAAAAATTAGAATTCTGATTCCCACATGAAATATACAAAGCAAATATGCCAACGGGCCATAACACCTGTGAGATTAACAACTCAGAAAGCTCGGTTGACTAAAATGAAAAAATGCCCAATTCTCTGGTGGTTTCCTCCGTGGCATTGGACTAACAGATAATTCCTCATCTGACATGGTATATTTAATGCAACATTAGATACTTTCTCCATAACTTTTTATTAAATCTATGTCAGTATAAGGGAATTCATTAATAATTGAAGAAACTAACATGGTAATTCAGAGCATACTTCCCTGACCATCAGGAAAGGGGTGAGGAAAGGATTTTTCACATAAACTTTTCAAGTTTACTCTTACCTGTGGGTTGATTAGTCATTACTATCCAATGAGTAAAATACATGTATATACCACCATCAGAGCTGTCTGTAAAAGCAATGAGAACTGCCCTGTGTTAAATAGTAAGACTAAAGCATTGACCATCTTAAAGATAACGACAAGTTGTTCTATATCTTAAGTAGCCAAAAGATCTGCTTCCTTTTGAGGTCACATGATGTAAGAAAAAAATACTGAGCAAAAGTTGTTTTCCCTTGCCACATTGGCCTGCAATACCATGAAAAGGTTGGGAGCACACATTTAGAGTCTGCCAGACTAGGGGTTCAAATCCTATCTTTGCTACTTAATACGTTTGTAGCTTAAAAAACTGTCTTAACTTTGGTGAACGTCAGTTTTCAATATCACAAGATGGAGACTTTCTTCTGGTCTTTATCCACAGGCTTGTTATGAGTATTAAAGGAGGTAAACCACCTGGCGGTGTCTGACATGTAGCAAGGGCTCCTTAGAGAGGAGTGTCTTCTTGGGCAATCTGATATCCTACTGATTTAAACAGCTCTATCATACTTGCCATTGTAGAACCATGTTTCCTGCAGACAGAGAGTTGGTGATTGCTTCTCAGACATCACTCAGCCTTTGGTTTCCATGTGGCCCACAGCTGGAGCAGGGGGACAGGAGTCAGTGCTCAGCAGCACATGAGCTGCCAGTTTGCACTAGAGCTGCGCTTTCTGTGCTCAGCCATCTGACCCACCGGAAGAGGTCCAGAAGCCTCCTGTCTCCGCAGTGTAATCCCTGTGGAGAGCCTGTATACACAACCCACTTTCATTTTGCCTCCACATGGCGATTGTTGTCGTTTTCTAGGGCTTTGTGTTTTCTTTCTTACCAGGTCCTTTTCATGTTAAAGTTGGGCAAGACCTACCTGCACAGCAGGCATGCTCACTCCTCCTGAGGAGTATCCGTCTCTTGTTTCTCCCCAGCATGGTTAAAGATGGTTGTTTTGTGAAACAAACAGGCTTGGCCCAAGTTAGGGCTAACAGGATGTGTTACCCCTCAGGGGTGAAAGAAAAGGAAAAGTCCCGCATGAGGTGCTCTCTCACCCCATTACTCTGTTGGAAATGGTCGAGAGGAGCAAAGAAAATCTGGACAAAAGAAATAAAGTGAGATATGCTGGTTTTGATCAGAGACCATTTTGCCTCAGAAACAAAACCAGGCATGATATTTTAAAGATAAAATTCACTTGGAAACTATAATCAAGTAGCATAAATGTGCTTATGATATGAAACTGAAATTAGAAGTTCCATTCTCAAGACTGAGGGATCCCAAAGGGCTTCTGATGACTGGTATTTAACTAAAACATGATGATTTTAGCTCACCACTGAATAATAGGTATCACAGAGATGCAGAAGGAAAAAAAGGAGAGAGGACCTTCTGATTCCGTTCAGGAATGGAACTTGGAAAGAACAAGGGGAGAGTGGAGAAAGGGAAATCTAAAGGAAAGTCATGGAGTGAGTTGAAAAAAACGAATCTCAAATAAGGAATGGCTGTTCCCTGAATTCAGAGTTCTTTGGGAGCTTCTTCCCCAGGACTGAAATCTCAAGGTTATTTCTTGCCTGCTCCTTTCCTTCTCTTTAGATGTGTATGGACAGTCAGTTAGAGGTGAGAGCCATGCCTGGCAATTTCTTAGGCTGTATGTTCCTCTCATGGTACAGCTAAACCTTTGGCTGTTGGGCTTGTCATTTCTTTTTCCCAGTATAATTCTTCTGCCTATGGTCATTCTTGAAGTCTATACAATAAGCTGCATTAGTGAGGACTGCCTAGGGTTCTCCATTTAAACAGATCTTGAACTCAGATATATTTCTATTGAAATTATCTTCATGCACTCTAGCACACATTCTTTAAAACATTTAACTTTTTAAGAAAAAAATAACTGTTGATTTTGGTGGTAGTTTCAAAACTCCTAAAACTGAACACTAAAAAGGGGGAAATGTATGTAAATTATACCTCCATTTTTAAAAAGCTTTTTAAAAAAGTAAATGTTGCCATATTATCTGCTGTAGACAAGTAGAACAAGTAGGGAATCATGTACTGAAACTGAGAACATCATAAGCCCTAGATTTTTAGGCCCCATAAGCTACTAATTAACCGTGGGATCTTAGGCATGCAATTTTGTCTTTAAGTCAGTTTTATCATCTGTAAAATGAGGAGTGTGTTCAGTTTAGCATTTCTGAAAGTATGTTTGGCAATATACTAATTTTTCAGAATTTTTTTTGTTAATTTTTTAACTATTATTATTTTTTAATAGAGATAGGATCTCACTCTGTTATCCAGGCTGGTCTGGAACTCTTGTACTTAAGAGATCCTCCTGCCTCAGCCTCCCAAACTGCTCAGGTTACAGGTGTGAGCCACCACCCCCAGCCATGTTTGTAGTTTTTATGTAAGGCAAAAACAAGGGTTCCTTCATCAAATATTTTAAAGAATGGTTACATCAAGCAAAATGAAGTAGATTCATTAAGTACAGGATATGTCACAGCTTTTTCACCATGTGAAAATATACACACCATTTCCTCAGCTTATCCAATCACCATGATCTTTATCTACTCCACCCCACTCAGAATCCAGCATCTGTGCGTTTAATGTATAAATGCTGGGAAACACTTAAGTAATCCTTCCTGGCAATCATCTCCCACAAAATGTTCCTTCCACAAAACGTTTCTCAGGCATCAATTTTATTTGCACTTAAATTCACACATACGAGCAGAACGAAGTTATTAAGTGGTTATTCTAACAAACTAATTTGCCATTTTGTTAGAGTCTGAATATAATTGAGAGAAATCTTTACTTCATACTGCATGTGTAGACACAGATGTGGTCAGTGAATAATTGTATAAACGCGTTTCAGAATAGCTCCAGCATCTTTTGAGTGGAGTATATGTAGAAAGCAGGCTGAGGCTAGCAGAAGTGAGAGATAACAATAGAAGTGTAGGCAGGAGTCAAACGAAATTCTATTGGAAAATAAAAACACTGGTGAACCTGAAAAGTGTTTGAACCCTGTTACAGACTCGCATCAATGATTTTCTCTATTCTCTGCCACAGATGTGACAGCTAAGTTACTGTATAAAAAGAGGCCTCGTTTTTAGCCCCATTCTGGGAGCCCATGTAATTACTACTGGAGTATAAAGCTGGGAAGGGGGGATCTGTTTTCACTGAATGAACTATAATCAGCACCACAGCTTTGTGCAGTCACGTCTCCAAGGAAAAGCTCATCTGAACTTTTCCAAAGTTTCTTCCATATATATCAAATTATTTATATTCTGTCAAAAATTGGCTGAAACCCAGCTATCCACAGCTATCTACAATTCCTAGAAAATTTAGCATATGATGTTTCTCAAGCATTTTTCTGCCTTTCTGCAAGGAACTTATCTAGTTATATTAATGATTATTGGCCTCTTTTACCACTCTTTTGCAAGAAAATCCTTCTGGACAATACAAATATTAAAAATGTAAATACAGTCACATATGATAAATGACTACTTTTACAATACCTTGACTATATGCTGTATATGATGAATCCCAGCAGCCTTCTCTCTTTCCTAGTTATATTTATTAGCAGTGTTTTTCTTATGTAACCATAAATAATACTCTACTAAGCAATTCCTAACACATATATTTAATAAGTTAAATACAAATAAAGATCTGAGTAATTAATAGCATAATTTTCTTGGAAAGAAGTTGAACAAATGCATTAAGGAAAATTTCAAGTCCTCGAAGTTGCAGAAAATAAACTTATAATACACACAACTGGAATCAGAAGGATAATAGTAATTTGTAGCCCCTCCAAGGCAAAGTTTCAGGAGTAGCTTCACTAGCCTTTTACCTAAAACTGATGACTTTAGGTGTCTCCTCTATCACAATACTACAGCTACTTACATTTCCTTTAAGCCTAAACAGAAAAAATGAAAACACAGCAAATATTTTTTTGCCTTTATGTTAGAGCAGTGTTTAACCATTAGCAAAGTAAACAACTGGTATTTAACAGTAGGTTGCTTCTTTCTACTGAAACCTCTCCTTACACTGCTATACTCCAATTATCCTGCAAGTAAGTAAAGTGGATCCATTAGGGTCACTAATTAACATCCATAAATATCTTGAGTTTATTTCACTGAACTTTGATTTAGTTAATTATAGGCTCACCTTTAGCACTTGAGCTGTAACCATTAACATTTCCATATTCTGCCTGGTCCCAAATGCTCCTGGGAATACTTAGGTAAAAACCACACCCACAATTGCAATATTTCTATGTTGGGTTTAATATCATTAACATGGAATCAGATATAGGTAACTAAATCCATTTGCCGCTAATATGGAGATACTAATTCTTGACTTAAAGGTCAAAAATAAAAATCTTATGAGATAAAATTGTATTGGTCTTTAGATTTTTATTTTTTAAATTGCATTCAGTTCAAATATTTACAGAAGCCCTTAAAAATAATATATATGAATTTCTGAGAGAAAATAACTATCAGCTATGTATAGTTTTCTTGTTTCTATTTTGTGGAGAAAAAAGAGGAAGACTGAAAATATTATTTCAGTTTCCTGGTAACATATTCAATGGACACCACAAAGGATTTAAAATACTTATTGAATTGAAAGAATATCAGCTAATACATAACAATTTGATAATTAATATCTACAAACCCCATCAGTCCAAGGTTGCCAAAATTAAAGTACAGAGTAAAAAGTTTCAAAAAGCTCCAGAATGAAATAAGACCCTGGGTCTTCTTTCCTGGTGCAACAGAATAACAGACTGAACACATCCCAGGCACAAAGAATTTCACCATCCAGTGAATCTTCTACTGACCATTTCTTTCAAATGCCAGCAAATTCTTCACAGAGGGGAACGCACCAGCCATCTTCTTTGTCCTTGGGACAGAGCAAGAAGGGTCTGTTCAAGTTGGTGACCTAGATTTGGGGAGCAAGAAAAACAAATGATAATCCCTGTCCCAAAATAACTTCATTTTTCCTAAAATTCAGTTTCCTAAATGAACCCATTTTTCCTAAAATGAAGATATTTCCTAAATATCTTTCCTAAATTATTGCCTCCAATTCCTACATTACAGTTTCAAGTTAAGACTTGGAAGACTGTTGTATTAGTCTGTTCTCACACTGCTAATAAAGACATACCCAAGAGGTTTAATTGACTCACAGTTCCACATGGCTGGGGAGGCCTCATAATCATAGCTGAAGGCAAATGAGGAGCAAAGTCACATCTTGCATGGCAGCAGGCCAGAGAGCTTGTGTAGGGGAACTCCCCTTTATAAAACTGTCAGATCTCGTGAGACTTATTTTATCACAAGAACAGCATGGGAAAGACCTGACCCCATGATTCAATTACTCCCACTGGGTCCCTCCCATGACACGTGGGAATTATGGGAACTACAATTCAAGATGAGATTTGGGTGGGGACACAACCAAACCATGTTAACTGTTAAAAGGGAAACATTTGGGTGAGCAATACCCTTTACACTGCCATGGCAAATAGATTTGACCCCATATGACATCTTTGATAAAGTGACAGAGGTTGTCTGTCATGTGCTGAAAAAATTCTAAAGCCATCCCCAAGCTCAACAGAAAAGAATCCTCTTTTTGATTAGTACTGTCCACTGTGAGCACAAAAGAGACTTGCAACAGATAAGTTGACTATTTCCTGACTCTGTTGTTTTTCCTTGTCCAGCATCTGCTCATCTTTCTTTTGCCGATACCATGTTGATTTTCCTTTGAGCATTCACCTCTTCCCTAATTTGCATTCTCCCATTTGCATTCTAAATTTTTTCCATCTCTGTTTTTACACATTCAAAATTCAGATCCGCTTGATTAAGCAAGAAATGTGTCAATAATCATAGATGTCCCCTCCTGGGAACCATGTAGGTGGGCTAATTTGTTGGTGCAGAGAAGGGAGATTTGCTCTAGATTCAGCCTTATAAGAAGTGAGTTGAAGATAAAGCCTTAGAAGCTCCAGTAGTGCAGTTGGTTAGCACACAATACTTAAATGAAGATAAAGTGTTAAAAAATTGCATTGAATATTCATATGACTTGCAAGAACATCTGGCAATTACAGAGCATTTTGCCAAGACTTAATAAAATAAATAAGGAGAATAAAAATCAGAATATATTTCAAGCTAGTACAGGCTTGTTCAATATATTTTTTAATTGGTGAAGAATTATATAACAAAACCTTATGAGACAATCTGTAGCAGCAATTCTTATTCTCAAAAATTAAATAAGCTATTTAAAGAGAAGGGCTATCTGCCATAGCAACTTTCTAACACTGACCTACCTAGTTTCTTCTGTAAGGGGATACCTTATTTTATTTAATGTACTCTAAAAATACATTTACTTCCATGTTATTGTTTTATCTTGACCATTTATTTTTTATTTATTCAATGTTTTTGAGATAGGGTCCTGCTGTGTCACCTAGGCTGGAGTACAGTGCTGCAATCACAGCTCACTCACTGCACCCTCAAACTCTTGGGCTCAAGTGATCTTCCCGTCTCCTGTGCAGCTGGGACTACAGGTGGACACCATCATGTTCAGCTAATTTTGTTTTTAATTTTTTGTAAACTGGGGCCCTCACTTTGTAGCCCAGGCTGGTCTCAACCTCCTGGCTTCACTCAACCCTCCTGCCTTGGCCTCCCAAAGCACTGGGATTACAGGCATGAGCCACCGCACCCAGCCCTAACCATTTTTCCTGAGCATTTGATCTTGCTCTCCATGACACTTTTAAAGAAGTAAGCCCAGAGTTTATCAAAAGGATGTTATATTTTCCATAACACGATTTTTTTTTTTTTTGAGGTGGCGCCTCTCTCTGTTGCCCAGGCTGGAGTGCAGTGGCATGATCTCGGCTCACTGCAACCTCCGTCTCCTGGGTTGACACCATTCTCCTGCCTCAGCCTCCCAAGTAGCTGGGACTACAGGTGCCCGCCACCATGCCTGGCTAATTTTTTGTATTTTTTAGTAGAAACGGGGTTTCACCGTGTTAGCCAGGATGGTCTCAACCTTTTGATCTCATGATCCGCCCACCTCGGCCTCCCAAAGTGCTGGGATTACAGGCGTGAGCCACCGCATTGGGCTTCCATACCACAATTTTTAAGACTTCTTTAATAGAGCCGCTCTGGGGATCTGTGGTTTCAAAAAGAAGTTCAAAGCGTCGCTCTGCTTCATTGCCCTGTATTTTCCTTTATGATAAATCACAATCTGTATTTGTTTTGCTATATGTTTCCTTGTTCTTTGTCTATGTCATACAAAGCTGTATGAGGCAGGCACCTTATCTGTCCTTTTCACTATATGTCTCCAACACCAAGCAGAGTGCCTGGCACAATAATTATGTGTGAAAAGAATGCTTAATAAATCAATGAATCTATGAATCAATGAAATAATTCATAAATGAAACTGATGGTGATACAACACAGTGGAGGTGCTTTTATTTTGTAAGCAGCTTTGTTCATAAAGTCATGAGAGTTCAGAAGTGGAAAGCTCATAAGTAGAGGCACTTCTGTACTCCTTCCTGCCTGTCTTGGACATGGCATCAATACCCATCTCATGTAGATTCCTAGGCAACCACTTCCAATGGATTCCTTCCATCTCTGGGATAAGGTACTAAAGCCAAAGTAGGTATTCATGCCTCTGTTTGCCCTGACCCTGCCTTGGACTCTTTATTCCAGTAAAGCAAGCTATGGTATATTTTCCTCTCATCGTCTTGCCATTCAGTGTGTACAAAAGTTTGGACCTTTCTATGCATTGCCAAGATATACTCTTTATACCATTCATAACATCTGGCTCACAGCTTCTAATAACCCACAAATGCCTTGACATAAGCAACAGCTAATTTTGTATTATGCAAAGTTTTAGTTATATTAGAAAATGACATAATGTATATGAAAGTGTTTTATGAACTATAAAATCCTATGCAAATAAAAGAGATAATGATCGTGATTGTCACTATCACTGTTGTTGCCTTAGCAAAGACAGAAAACTGTTTGAAGAGTCTTTTCACATTCTCCCTTTTTGGCTTTTAAGAGATATTGAACTATATGCTTCCAGAGAAGAAATTGTTTCTTGGCATTAAAATAGAAATTTTAATAAAATTGCATTGACTCATTCAGGCATTGTTAAATTACAGAGGAAAACAAACAAAGAAACAAAACCAGATCCTATTGTCCCAGATCCACTATTTATCTAAAATGTGAAGAACAGGCATTTCTTAGTAGCTTACATTTTCTTTTTTTTTTTTTTTTCCTTCAACTTTTATTTTAAGTTCTGGGGTTCATGTGCAGGATGCGTAGGCTTGTGCCATGGTGGTTTGCTGCACAGATCCACCCATCACCTAGGCATCAAGCGTAGAGTCCATTAGTTATTATTCCTGATGCTCTCCCTCCCCAACCCCTCAACCCTGACAGGCCCCAGTGTGTTTTGTTCCCCCCCACAGTGTAAGCTTTAAAACATACTTTCATTTCCTACACAGAGGATGATCTTGATTCCCCACTTTACACAAACTACCTTCTTAGAGAGGAGACCCCACTAGGCCAGTCAACCCAGCAATATCTCAGATCACATCAGACTCATTAGAAGAGAAGTAGAAGTTGCCTAAACACTATTATAATTTGAAGCACATCAAAAAGGTCCACACATGGCTCTGCCTAGAGGTCTAGCCCTGGGGACTGAATAAATTCAATAATAAGCCTAATGTCCTTGAGCACTCTCAGCTACCAAACAAAAGTCATGCTAAGCAAATGGAAGTACAAAAATGGATGCATACAAACATGCTTCTTTAGCACACAAATGTTCCCAGAAAGTATTGAATTGCCTGCTAGCAAGAGAGCTAGCCACAGAAAGGATCATATAAACAAATTCCTGTTTTCCAATTTTGACCTTTACTGACTGTTCAAGAATATTCAGCTCTCTCACACTACCTTGAGCAATATTACCATTTCCTATTTATCCAGATAAAAGAAAATGCATACTAAGAGTCCCTGATTAGCTGTAACTTACTAAATGATACCATGGAAGCTTAAATAAGTTAATATAGATTTCACATGTATAATATATTCTTGTGAACAATTGTACTTAGAGCAATAATCTAGCTCATCAGTTTTTGGAAGAGGCAAAGCACTTTTCAGGGCTTATTTTTGCAATATTATATTCTCTCCTAGCTTTCCTCCAGTTATGAGAAGTCAGGGGGGAAAATAATGAAACCCATCTCTGGTCATAGGCATCTGACTGAAGAACTTTGTTACTATTATTTGCAAGGATTTGACACTGACTTGAGGTTTCACTGATGACTGGCATTTGTAAAGCAGCCTTGGCATAGCATTCAGTAGGCTGTTAAAAACATGTATAATTTAGCTTTGGTAGTTTCAATAAAGTAAAGGTTAGGTTCTGCCAATGACCTTTCATGAACTTCTAGGAGTATATAGTCTTTTGGTGAAAAGGTAAAAAAACAGACTATATTTTCCTACTTAGGTGGTAATTACACTTCAGTTTATGTAGTTCTGATGTTCGTGGGAGATCTTTGTAATTTACCCCTGGGCAGGCTCACTGTGAAGCTTTTTTTTCCCCTCCAGAGAGTTGGTGGTTGTTGTTGTTGTTGTTGTTTTTAACTAACATCCTTGCAAATTGGATAAGTGCTGCATTACAGTGATTTGCAACTCACTGATAGACTTACATGTTTGAACCTTAGGAATAGCACTTGAAAGAAAGATTACAAATCCCCTTAACCTGCAAGCATTCACTTTCCAAAAATACCTATTTCCAAGGCAGGAAAGCACTGAATTTTGAAAGCCCTGGTAAATCCAAGCAAAGTGAAATGTACCTCTGCTCAAAAGAGTTCAATGGTGGTCGGGCCTTTAAGAAGACAACGTATTTTGAAGCTTTCTACAGATAGCCAAAGAAACTCGTCCTTCATTCAACATCACAGGGTTCCTCTGCCATCATGGTAATTACACATGTTGCCAACTCAATTAAGATTGCACAAGGAAAGATGATTATTCATTGTAGCAATTTCACTTTATAGTCAGTGGTAAATTCTGTGAGAAAACTTCATCCGGCAACTTTCCCATCCTCCTGGAAGGGGGGTCCTTGGTGGTCAGCCAGAAACATGCAAAACTATCAGTATAATTCATACTGCTAAGGGGTTCAAAAAAAAAAAAAAAAAAAAAAGAAAGAGGCATTTCCAAAGCCACGGCAAATTAGCCTTTGGCATTGAAACTCTCGATTATTTATCCACTCAGGCGCATCTATACAATGAGAAACAACTGCCTTGAAAGGCAATAAAATGTTGCATACATTTCCCAGGGGCCTGTCTGCCTGATGAAGCATTTAATCAACCAGGCCACAGAACCATTTGCGTTCTATGTATCTAGCTAGGGGAGGTAGTCAGAGAAACTCATTAAACAGTACTCAGAAGAAACTATCCAGCCCAGGTCTTGATTTTCTCCACAGGCTCTCAGGCAAAGTCCCAAAAGTCCATCTTTGGGCTGTTGATGAGTGTTACCAAGCTCCAGCTCCATTTTCTCAGAAAACTCAGGTCAGGAAGGTGTTTGTTCCTTGAATCTCTTCCTTAACTCCCGGACTGTGGTCAGCATCTCATGCTCTCATTTTGCATGCTTTTTGTTTTCTTTCCCCAATAATAATGTAGTCTACTTGAGTAGGAATGATGGCATTCTTCTCTCACAGCATCTAAAATATGTTTGGATAGATCACTGGGTCTTGAAAAGTACATTTTCATTGTACTGGGCTGGATGGTTTCTTCTGAGCACTGTTTAATGGGTTTCACTGACTACCTCCCCTAGCCAGATACATATAATGCAAATGGTTCTGTGGCCTGGTTGAATAAATGGGTTTGTACTTCATTGTACTACTAGTGGCTCTTCACCTAAACAAAATTTCCATTTGGAATATCCCTCTCACTTATGTAAACACTACTTTCCCTTTCTTTTGATCAAGGACCTTCCTTCAACCTGAAAGTTTTTCATCTCCTCTGTACACATGATGCTTCCGGATTCTGAAGTCTTGTAAGCCAAACATTTAATGCTTAAAAATGTACCATCTTTCATAGACACAAAGTAACTATGCATCAGAACAAAAGCACAGCTAATTTATATAATGGTCCTTTGTACGTAAAAATGAAAGGGGCGGCCAATGCAGTGGCTCAAAGCTGTAATCCCAGCACTTTAGGAGGCTGAGGTGGAAGGATTGCTTGAAGCCAGGAGTTCAAGACCAGCCAGGGCAACAGAGCAAGTCCCTGTCTCTAAAAAAAAAAAAAAAAAAAAAAAAAAAAAAGAATACAAGGGGAAAGATTTTTTGGAACTCAAGCTGTTCATCCATTGAAGAGTCTCTGTACAAATTATCTGGTCTCCTTATTGTCAGGAAGCACACAGAACCTTCCTTTATGTATTTGAGTATTACATATGCATTTATTTAAAGAAAATTCACAGGCTTTACAATGAGTTCTAATACCAATTCCCAGTTCCTTCTCACTGTGGAACTGTCAGTGACCCATTTGGTCATTTGAGGTGCACCATTGGGTGCACTAATATAGCCTTGAGATAATCCCAGATCTACTGCTTATTAGTTGCATGACTTGGCCACATTATTTAACGTCATTGCTTCAGTTTCCAAATCTGTGAAATAGAAATGGCGACAGCAATCACCTATAGGCTATCATGAGGATTAAATGGGTTACTACGTGTAAGGCACATGGGCCTGGCACTTAGTATGAACTCATCAAATATTAGCTTTTTTTTTTCTTCCAGATCTGGGGACATTCTCATGTGTCCCTTATGAATTTTGTTCCCTTCCAACTGAGAGTAGTGGAGGATGTCACTTCTTAATTCAGGGTCCTTAGTGCTAAGTCTTCGGCCTTTTGTTATGTACTCGTTCAAAATACAGGCTCCAAGGGATGACTCTGTATTTCTATAATCTCCACTTAGACTGAGAGATTCCTAAGGACAGGAACTTGATCCTAATGTTGTTTCTATGGCCCACCATGTCAAAGGCAGTGTCTCACATGGAGTAAGAGCTCTATATTTATTTTTGTTGATGTTTTTTTTACCATTCCTTCCTCTCTGGTCACCCAAGACTGATTATGGCAGCATTCCACTCGTTCTCCTCTTCCACACCACGTGTAAATTGATCCAATAGGGGTTACAGAGCCTGTAAGGCATAAAACAAAGGACTTATCAGTAACCAAATATGTGATCCTTACCAGAACTCTTATTGTTTAGATAGAAGAAAGAGCAGATAATTTTTTGGACAGATGTGTGTCCTGGGTTGTGGGCTGCTCATGGGTTACTTATGTGCTGGCAAGCTGATAAAATTGAAAGGCAATGAAAATATTTGGACCAAGCATTCCAGTGAAGCTAACATGAGAATTCTTGATTTTGACCAACTTTGGCTACATTATTAGGAAAAGATAGCCAATAAAGGTGTGTTCGATGGGAAACACTCTACTATAGGAAGATAACCAATGAAAATTTTTAATTCACTGAGCCAGACTTCTTTCCACATAGTCTCATGTGATTCAATTACAAAACACTTTCCTCGGCCAGGCGCAGTGGCTTACGCCTGTAATCCCAGCACTTTGGGAGGCCGAGGTGGGTGGATCGCAAGGTCAGGAGTTCAAGACCAGCCTGGCCAACATGGTGAAACCCCATCTCTACTAAAAATACAAAAATTAGCTGGGCATGGTGGCACGTGCCTGTAATCCCAGCTACTCGGGAGGCTGAGTCAGGAGAATTGCTTGAACTGGGACCCGGGTGGCGGAGGTAGCAGTGAGCGAGATCTCACCATTGCACTGCAGCCTGGGCTACAGAATGAGGCTCTGTCTCAAAAACAAAACAAAACAAAACAAATCAAAACACTTTTACCTGCTTCCTGGCATCTTTGAATGCAGATTCAATAGTGAACTGGACTTACTTTCTTCAGAAGGTACTCCTACTCGTGGTAGAAAATGCAGCCACAAAGGAAAACCATTGTAGAGGAATTTCACTCCAGCAGAAAGAAGCAACCCCCTCATTACCAGATTGTTGTTTTCATTAATTCTGTGGAAAGTCCCTTCTCTTGTTCAGTCCTTTGCTTCTCCATTTGGCCTAATCCCCCCAGCTGTAGTTTTCAGAGTCTTATGATTAGTATTAATGTTGTTGACTTGCTATTTCAGATAGCCTAGGTTCAAGTTTTCATGAGTAAAACTTAGCCTTTCTAATCCATGATGCTCACGAAGGTCCCTCATGGATTCTTTTCTTTTAAGTTGTGACTTGGCACTTTGGTTTGGTCCAATGTGTTCTGTGACCTATGTACAAGCCATGTTTTTTTTCAGTTGGAAACGGGCTGTTTTTTTGGTGATCACTTACACATGTTGCTGTTTTCCCTCTGTTTCTCTGCCTACTCCATTATAAAATCCGACACATGATATGGTGAATTCAAATGTTTTTTTGAACCAGGTGAGAATTGAACTTTGGGCTTATTATTATTATTATTATCATTATTATTATTATTATTTTAATGGACAGGTGTTTCTAGTGAAGCATTTTCAAGCTGTTTTCTTTTGAATTTTACTCCTTTAAAATCCAGGCACTGTTTAAAATTAGTGGAAGGCATTTGAACTGTATGACTAAAAAAACATAAGCTGTTAGTATTCATGAGTTATATATTTCTTTCAGAGATGAAGGCTCCCTGTGTTGGCCAGGATGGTCTCGAACTCCTGACCTCGGGTCATCCACCCGCCTCAGCCTCCCAAAGTGCTGGGACTATAGGCATGAGCCACCATGCCTGGCCACTTGGTGACTTTTTTTTTTTTTTTTTTTTTTTTGAGACGGAGTCTCACGCTGTTGCCCAGGCTGGAGTGCAGTGGCGCGATCTCGGCTCACTGCAAGCTCCGCCTCCCGGGTTCCCGCCATTCTCCTGCCTCAGCCTCCTGAGTAGCTGGGACTACAGGCGCCCGCCACCGCGCCCGGCTAATTTTTTGTATTTTTAGTAGAGACGGGGTTTCACTGTGGTCTCGATCTCCTGACCTTGTGATCCGCCCGCCTCGGCCTCCCAAAGTGCTGGGATTACAGGCTTGAGCCACCGCGCCCGGCCCCACTTGGTGACTTTTAAATGAAAAGGATTTGGAGCACAATAAATTTATGCTATTGTAGAGCATGAATTGGTGAGGATATCTGAAATAAAGAAATATCCTTCCATTCAAATTGGCTTGAACATAAGAGAAGGACCGTTATAGATACTTCAGGCCTGTGTCAGTGGTGGCTGCCAAAGTGGTCTAGAAGATCCTTGTATTAGTCCATTTTTATGCTACTGATAAAAACATGCTCAAGACTGGACAATTTACAAAAGAAAGAAGTTTAATGGACTTCTAGTTCCACATGGCTGGGGACGCCTCACACTCCTGGTGGAAGATGAAAGGCACATCTCACATGGTGGCAGACAAAAGAAGAGGGCTTGTGCAGGGAAATTCCCATCTTTAAAACCATCAGATCTCATGAGACCTATTCACTATCATGAGAACAGCATGGGAAAGACCTGCCCCCATAATTCAATTACCTCCCACAAGGCCCCTCCCACAACATACGGGAATTCAAGATGAGATTTAGGTGGGGATACAACCAAACCATGTTAATCCTTAACTATATGGGACTAAGGTAGAGATAATTGCAGAAAACAGAGATTTCTTAGTTTCCTGAGTCTGAGAGAAACCAGGAGAAGAGGGTTTTGAAGGTCTTTCTTGCCCATCCTATAAGCCATCTTTTTTCCACCAGGGTAAGATTCTGGAATCAGATAAATTTAATTCCAACCCCACCACCTTCTAGCTGGTAGTCTTAGGGAAGTTACTTGAACTTTCTGTGCTTTAGTGTCCTCATCTTAAAAATGAAGATAATAGAACTTATTTTATAAGGTTGTTGTATCTGTTGATTTACCTTATGCACAATGCTTAAACAGAGCTCTCCCACATGGATGGCATTCAGTAAATATTAGCTTAATTATTCATAACACCATTTCTCCTTCCTTATTCTGATCATTGTCTCACGGTCTCCTTCACTGGTACTAATTCCTCTGCCTAGCCTATAAAACCGGTGTCCTTGTCTCTTCTTGTTGTACATAATCACCTTAGATGATCTCATTTACCTCAAACTTTCACATACAATCATTAGGTGAAAGCCTCTTAAATCTCAGTGTCCAACCAGACCTCTCTCTTGAGTGCTGAGCTCTCTCTCCAACTCTTTATTGCACAATTAACCCTTGGTTGCACCATCAATACCTCATATTTAGTATGTCTAAGAGGAATGCATCAGCCCCTTTCCTGGAACTTCAGCCACCAGAGATGACAGCATGCCCCTCAAAGCAATGTGGTAGGGAAATCAAGGTGTGGGTGTTTAATGAATGGTGAGTGTTCTCCATCTCAGTTCCAGCAAGGGGTAGCTGTGGACAGGCAAAGAGGCTTCATTCTGAGTAGGTAGAATTAGCTTAGATTTTTACAAAACTTGCTTATAATTGGGAATTCCGTTCTGTAGTAAATAGAGAATTATTAAAAACGTATGATAGAACAATTCCTAAAAAATATTGTCATATGTTTCTAGCTCTCATGTCTATGAGCTATAGACTTTACTGACATCAAGGATGATCTCCAGTCTCTTCCTTTGTATTCTATGTATCTCTGTCAAGAACAAAAAGTCTGTTGCTCTCGGTTACTCTATGAGTGGCTGGACGAGGTCCAATATGTGAATATGAATCTTTTCCACAATAGTAACCCAAAAACCAGCTCACCTGACTTCATGCCTCTTTCTGAAATCTTTGGTGCAATCAGATAATCCATTTCCAGTTATAGGACATCAGGCTAGTCTGATAGCTGTTGTTTCATGGCCAGTTATGCTGTGCCATTTTAACTTACACGTGGGAGGGTATTTTTCACAGATTTCCTGAGTTATGGTAGTGGTTTACTATTAGTCATCTCAATAGATGATAGGTTGCTATTTCTTCTATCAATATATTCATGTAGAAAAAGTCCTGAGGCCAGGATCCAAAATGTATGCTCGCTCACTGGTGATAATTTAAGCAATCCTACAGAGTTGGCAGGGATGCCTGACAACTCATAGGAAATGGCCTCAAGGCATCTTTGCTTTGTCATCTAGTAAGAAAATGTAACACAAGTCATAGAAGGTGTCCTGCCCCAAACCATCACCCTAGCGCAGTGTGCATTAGCACCGAGCAAAAGATTATAACCATGCCTGAGTGGGAGTAACGACCGGCACATTCACAGTGAGGAAGAGTAATTTCTTACTGTTACATGCCTAACACACAGAATTTACTGAGGAGGAACACTGATATTCACACCACTTCATCCAACAACTATTATTTTAGCAACTACTATATACCAGACACTCTTCCATACACCAGGAATATACCAATGAACATACAGACCAAAGTCCCCATGCTTATGGAACTCATACCCTAATGAAACTGAGAAAGATTTGAGACATGGGAGGAAGTTGGGTTGGAGATTTTTGCTTAGCTGTCGTATTGAGACCAAGCTCCTTGATTGTACATGTATGCTCTAGTATTTTTTAAAAAGAGAAAAAAGTAAAGAAAGACACCACACACACACACATACACAAATACACATAAATATATACCTATCTATGTATATATTCATGCATAATCATATATACAATTAACAACACCATTCCCCTCACCCCATATGTATTTCTATGAGGGAGAAGGTATTCGTTCTCTCAGACGGTTTCACAGTTGAAAAGCAAAGCAGATGGCTCTTCTAGGGGAGGCAGCTTGCTTGCTAAAATGTCATGGATATACAGAAATAAAACCGAAAATGAAATGAAAGGCAAGAAAATATTCTCATTTGAATAATGAACTATCTGATGTTTCCTTAGAGCCACACAGCTCAGATAACAAAAAGAAACACTGTCAGACCCTTTGTTCTGCATTTATAACAAAACTCAAACCACATGTCTGTCATGTAATAAGCCACTCTGGATAATTTTTTGAAGAATAATAATCATTGTTTGATGGAACCACTTGTAAAACCCAGAAGGCACCCCAGAGAAGCTGGCACTCATAGTAAAGTATCCAAGGGATAATTTGTGGCAACAAATGATACACTGAATATTGCATTTAAACTTTAAAACAATTGTTCACACACA